GTATATTTTAGGATTATTTTTTGGGGCAGTTTAATTTATCCCTCAGTTTTTTCTCGACCTACGAAATTTCAATTTTGGTAATAGAAACCTTTTTTTCCCTTTCGTTTAGTGATGTTCCGAGAATGGGTCCAGTCCCTATGGCAAAGTTAGACATCTCTTTGTTTTCTCACTTGTGAGTGATTTGTTTTATCGATACTTGTGTGATTTTTGGCGATTTTAATTGCCTCCGCAGTCGCCCAGATCAAAGGTGTTCAAAGTACGGCCCGTGTGCTTAATCCGTCACATCACATATTTCGCATTCAAATAAATAAGATGCACATAGGATTGTATCTAAACGTCCTTTTCTTTATTGCATTTCTCATTCGTAAGAGTATTATTTATAATTTAAAAAATACATTCAGGGTGGACCATAAATATTCATACCGCATGCTACATATCTACTGTATTTATGCATGCCCAAGAAAAGCGAAGGAAAAAAGTGGCACCTCACCTAAGTGTCAACGTATCTTTAGTGATCAACCTTGAGTGCTTTCCACACTTCAACCACATGGCTTCACGCTCAAAAACTTGTCTAGCAGACCATGTAGTAGAAATTATCGACAAACATTAATGGGCCCCTTACTACTCCGGCTGTAATCCGATGGATTTCTGCTTGTTGAGTCTGCTGGAATTGCCCACAAATAAAATCCAGCGACCTGAATCAATTAAGGCTGGTGCTGAAAGAGGAATGGAACCATTTCCGTCCAGTGTAATCGACCAGGTGACCCGAAGATTGCAGGTTACCGTCGAGAAGAAAGGGGACGCATCGGAAATATTTTGCGAATAGTTACAGTGAGCCTATGCGTCTTGTTGAGGTTAATTTGATTCTATGAGAAATTCTCAGTACAGGAAACAAAAGACTTTGATTGGTGTGAATATTTATAGCCCACCCAGTACACAAACACGCACACACACACATGTATATATGTATGAACATAAATTCATCGGTAGACAGGCAGGCCATCGAGCAGCCATGGCCCCGCCCCAGGAACCTTCTGACAAGCATCACCAAACTATTGCCAAATGCCGGGCAGACAAGGGGCACCAGCCAGAAGAAGGCTATGAAGGAAAGGATACCGAAGCTCTAGGCAAGACTATTGACGCCGTTCGACCGGCTTCGTCGGGGGTGCACGGCCTGCCTAGAGCATCAACAGCTGGTTCAACCTGTTTCTGCGGTCTGGTCTTCTATTTACTATTCCAGACCTGTTCGGTTTAGGTAGGTAGATTAAGTCCCTTATCTTCCCCTTCGGAAGCCTTCTTCACGGTTTCTTTACCATTCTCTTGAATTTTCAACCTTCCCTTCCTTTTCTTCTTGGTTTTGTTCAACAGGGGAGTTTTCAGCTGTTTCTCAACAGGGGAAAATTCTAGACCCAGCGAGGCGAGGCTTAATTTCGTGTAGGCTCCATGTCGCGAGGCATATATTCTTGTAAATCTTGCGAGGTGAGGCTAATATTAACGAAGGTCAAGCAAGGCTAGACACGGTTACTTGCTCCAGATTTGATTATAGCAATAATGCGCACAGGCTCGGATTGCGGCATAGCATTTCGGAACTTTAACCAGTGCATCTGTCGAGTGAGGCGGAGCTGTTTCTCTTTCCTCCGTTCTTTTCTTTGCCGAGCCAACGGTTGTGGAAAGGTCTATCGGGTATCGATAATGAATTAATTTCTCTATAGTGCACAGTGGGCAGCTGGTTGCTGTTCTGAGCTTCACCACATCCACTTCTACTGAACGCCATGCACTTATTGCATTCTGATAACAAGGGTGTGAATTCAAATGGCCCTGAAAGAAAAACCTATGTTATGGATACGGTGGGTTGGCAGTTCATATAACCCTTGTATTAACACCGTATGGCTCTGCCAGACTGGCAGACTGGGAAGGCATGTCAAAAGGACCCTAGATTTTCTCCTGCTTCCCCCAGTGACCCCCAGTGAATGACCAACAATTATATCATAGATGGAGTTGAACTAATGCGCGCAGCCAAGGTAAGACTCCCGAATTAGGGGATTATGAGGATTTCTGGGGTTCCTCATTGGAAAATGCCAGAAGCTTTGGAAATTATATATGATCATGCACATTAATATCTGACGTGAAATATGGAAATGCTAGTCAGCCAGAGGAGCGTAGCAAGAGAAATCTTACTATGGGGACTTTACATAATAAGCCCTCATCCCGTGACCATGGAATAACAACTTTACGGATGCCAGATTCTTCAGATCGAAATGGACGCTACTTTTGGCTCTTCCCTACCTGGACGTTTAAGGAACGCTTTCGGTCCATCTTCATTTTTCCCCGCAAAAGGCTGGGATCAATCATACCTGGTATGAGCGGAATAATCTGCGGATGTTGATTCGCGCTGGAGTCTTGCTTTTAAATATGAAGATATTCCAAAATGTTCAATGAATATCATGCTGTGCGTTCGACCCACAGAAACTTGAAAAAAGCATCGGCTAGCCAGCTTTGAACGAGAAGGATAATTCGACGAGGAAAGAGCTTGGACATATTATATAGATTGGGTGATTTCCGCCAGTTCCATGAGGAACGAAGGGAGCAATGGAGCCTGGCTTTCATGAAGTTTAAAAGAGGCGTTTCAACATCCCTCGATCACTTGGGCCATGGACAAGGAACACAACACATGACATGATTATCTTCACATTGGATATCCCTGATTGAAGGATTTCTTTCGACTCCTGTCTCCTGCAACAGGCATCTCATCGGCAAATGATTGATGAAGTGACATCAGTCATGTCACGAATCAGTTTGCATTTAAAATTTCCCGAGCCCCCCTAATTTTTTCAAAGAGAAATCCAGTTTTCTTATGTTCCTGGAGTTATGATTCGTGCCACCGTCACTGTCGTAATAGTTCTTGTAACACTTTGCATATTGGTGGAAGCCTGTCGGGTTTGGGTTCTGACATATTTCTCTTCCCGACTCAGAACTTCCGCATGTGTGCAAGATACATGCACTTGTTCTTCCAACCGCATGCAACACGAGGTTTCGGAGTTTATAGCCCTAGCGAAGCGCAGTGAATTTACTTCGAAGACTGGTATGTAGCTAGGTCAGACCCACTTCACTTCGCTATCATTCGGAAGAAAAGGAGCAGTGAACGTCATTTACCTCAAGAATGAACTGGATTAACAGTAGCAATCAGAACGCCATTTTTCATTATTCCATTTTCCTTCACTTTCCAACGTTCAACCTCCAACAAAAGTAAACTCTGTAATTAGCAGCAGGGACCTCAAGCATGTGGAAAACACCTGGTCGAGTAATGACCCCTACAAAACGTCCACCCTCCCCGTGGATATGGAACCAGGTGGATGTCCGTAAGGATAAAGCGTAAATCCAAATGTTAGAGGGATGTCCACCTGGTTTTAAATCCACCTCCTATCCGCCTTGTCGTTCAGTCAGGTGGATACAGGTGGACGTTTTGAAAGGGTAATTGAGTTGATCGAGCTCAGGATGGAATTGTGTATTATTCAATGGGGGTGAGTAAATGAAGTATCTCGTTAACGAAAGGAGACCCACTTCTGAACAGGGTTTACACAATTTGTCATAATTGCTTCAAGTATCACGCAGTCTTTGCTGGAGTGCAGATGAAATGTAAAAAAAAAAAGTGTTGGTCTTGGCTTCTGAATAAGGCCTGTTGACAGGACTGGAGCTGACGACTGACTGGCTCACCTCGATCAATCACAGGGATGATATAGAGTGAGAGAGAGAAGAAAGGTCATGTCCTCGGAGCCGGATGACACTTCAAGGATGCGGGTACCTGACTCTCTTCTTCCCCCATTTCAAGTCAAGAAGAATATCCTCTGAACCGGATGAAGGTATCTTTACTTTCACTCTCCCCTAGATTATGATCGACCTTTGACTCACGAAATGATTCCCTGGTCAGTGAGGAAGGGATACACTGAAAATTCATTTCATCGTGCTCCGTTCCATTTACCTCTGATTGCTCATAGGCAAGCATCTCCCCGGAGACTTTCTATACTGGGCTTACCTGCCCGTACAAGATTCGCAGCTTCAATGAAGGGTGTAAAAGAAACTATGTCGAAAGCCTACAGTTCCTCCTCTCCGTATGAGACTCTGAATCTATTTCTCTGAATGAGAAGTACTTTCTCAAAAAAGTTTTTCCACTCTCAAAATGTTCCTAACGTTAACTGAAAAATCTATTCCCACAACGGCCGCGACAAATTGGTTATTTCGTCATAAAGTTGCAGAACGGAAAATTGATGCATGACTTCGATCGGATCACATATCGCGTGCTTCAAAATAAATGCGCCATCGTCTTATATGGAATGTGATTAACACGAAAGAAGCTTGACGTAATAAATGGAGAAAACAATATAATTTTCCCCAACCGTTATTGGCAGTTACTTGTACTTGTGAAATACTTCAAACTGGAATCGATTCTGCACTTCTGTGCCTAATATCCTTCCTTATGACTGTCCTGATGTTTCGGGTTTGCTTTACTCCACTCTTTCTCATTTTGCAATGGATATGCAACGCCTATAGTTTGGATTCCGTAATGCCTTTTATTTAGACCTTACCGCTCAACGCTAGTCATGTGCGTTGCCATTGTTACCTACATGACCGCATGTCAGTAGACTTCCCTCTGTCTCTGATGTCTGCACGCCCTGATCACGGTGACGAATCAGAATCATTTATTTCAATCAATCATGGCGCATTAGAGATTCTTGGGCACTTTTGAATTATACGTAGACTGATCAATTCACAACCCTCGATAATGGGAATGCATACGTTTTTCTTAGATGAGTCCGATAATTTTTGCCATTCCTCCATTATACCTCCGATTGCGCCATGGTCTTGAGGGGATTTAATCTTTAGAAGAGAATTTTTTGCTTACAGAAAACGGCATATAAACGGCTATAATTTGTGCAGGACTTGAACTCGAGTAGACCTTTGGTGATGTGGAAAAGAGTACGGATCAATGATAAAGACACAGATTGACAGTGAACAACACAGTTTAATCCATATCGAATGCTGTGTGAGGAGAACCATAATGAGTGAGAAAGGGAGAGAAAGAGAGAGCGAGACAAACCAGTCGCTTCAATATATCATCATATTATTACGACATCTCTCTCTGAGTGCAAGAGAGAAAGAGAAAGAGAGAGACAGGCGGAATTAAGGACAGATCGTCGTTGGAATCCAAGCTAAGAGGTCCTAAGCATCATTAATTCATTAAACAGAAACATTAGTACTATGGATCAGAAGAGGATGGGATCGCACCAAGGGCGGGGAAAAAATCCTCTTCTAATAACGTATGTACACTGCAAAAAAAAAAACAACTGGCATCCATCCTTCCAGATTGCATTCGTTCACATCAGACACTGAGAGGGCACACAAAAGCATGCGCACTATAACAACACAAACACTCCGTTGGATCTTTCTTACGCCCTAGTAACACACAATAAGCGTACTGAAAGTTCGCGTGTCAGACTGCTGAAGACGATGAGACAAAAATGCAGGCAGGTGGAAGCACACGGCCATTGCTCTCTCCTCCTCGAAAACTTCAAACTGCCTGGGTATGTATACCTGCCACACATCCAATGACACTTGTAAATGACAGAAACATGCAACCGAATGGAGGCCGAAGGAATCCTTATCTAGGACTAGGCAGAGGTTGCGTTCAAGGGCTAGAATCTCTCTAGATGTCGGATCTGCCGAGCATAATCTCCTCCTCCCTTGGACTTCTCAAGGTGAACAAGGCTATCTCATTCGGGGCGGAGTTGAACTCTTCAAGAAGGAAAAAGATGGCCAAGAAAAAAAAGCCCTCTCTCCATTGCATTGTCCATTTTCCAGTATCACCTAATGTTCCTCTTTGCTTTGTCCATAATCGTTTCAACTCCAATCAACGTGTAGAAAAAGTGATGCTCTATGGACATCAGACTATATTTATGGAACTTCGTTAAAATCAATCTGAGATATGGTCAAATGATCAGTTATGGACCCCAGAACGTTAATATTTTGTACTGTGTTAACGTCAGATTTATAATTTTTATTTTATAGAATAATTTTATAAATCAACTTTGGAGTGTTCAGGTGTAAGTGTATTGATTGTGTTGATAATGCACTGTTGGAGTCCTCGTAAGTATGGCGGCTTTGTTGAGTACACACATGACTTAGCAAACCCTCAGAGAAGGAGGTGAAGAGGTGTCAAGTCAGGTGAGCGCGGTGGCTAAGGTATGGGTCCTTCCTGACCAATCCATTTTTGTGGAAATGTGCCCTTAAAATGACGTGTGGGCAATGCAAAGTGTGGAGGTGCACCAACTTGTTGACGTGTATTTCTTGAATGGGAACATAATTATGGGAAACATTGTAGTCGTATGGAATGCCTGATCGAAGCACGAGTGGAAATTATTTAATTTCTTTTTTGAGACGAATTTCTTTGCCAATGTTTTAAAAAAAAAATCAAACATGTTTATATCTGTGCAGCTCTACCTTCCAAGAGCACATTCTTAGACTTATTGAGAAATTCCACGGAACTGGTTTGATGCAAAACTTACCAAAAGCATATCAACCATCTGCGGAAGAGAATGCCGACCTGCTTTTAGTGAGCAGGGGTGAGAAACTTGAAGTCCCAACCAGAGTCCCTTTTAATATCGGTCGGCCTGCTTTTGATAGGTTTTGTGCAGAACCAGTTTCGTGGAGTTTCCCAATCAGCCCCTGATTGTGCTCTTGAAAGGTGCAACCAATTCCACGACTTTCCCCCCCCCCCCATTTTTTTTTTATCAGGTATTTCATATCATTCTTTCGAAAGCAACTCGACCCGAAATCTGACATTAACATAGGACAAAATAAAGTTTCGAGGTCCCTAACTAATTATTTGACCATATCCAGTATAATTCTTCCGAAGCTAAAAAAGGTAAGTTGCCCATAGAGCTTTCTTTCTTTTACCTTCTTTCTTTACTTCTTTACTTACTTTCTTAACACTATGAGGAAACATAAACAAGTTCAATTTGCTGGTAAATCCTTTATAAGAAAAGGGACTGCCACCTCCTCTAGTAATGTAGCAGTTACTTGGTTTAATATGGCGACCCGATAGTCGCATGGAGTATACAAAGAGGTGGTACTGCACTGTAGAATAGAAGAGGAGGGAGAAGAACAGAAGAAAGAAATTCACGGTGTAGACAAAGATCGACTTTTACAATGACCACTTTAGGGATTAATCTTTACAAGATTATGTAATGAAGATTACATCATCTCTTCACTTTTCAAGAACCAAACCTGTTTTCGAGAATCTTGATACCCAACGTTCCTAGAGCTTGCCTCCCCCTCCCCCCCACAAAGCTACTTCTTTTCGCCTCACCTGTTGAAGGGATGCGAAGGGACGGAGTTCAAGAAGAGGAGGAAGAATGTAACGGAGACTAGAGATTTGGATGGGGTTCCCCTCGATCTCGTTTCCGGAACCAGCCAGCTAGTCGGGAATCCTTGGGCATGCTTTGATGCCGTTTCACATTCACCGTCCTCGGGGTCACCGGATGATTTTCTTTCTTTCTTGGTGGTCGAGGGGGTCTGCCTTCCCCTGGGCTTGGAGAACTATAATCCACTTCCTTCGTCTCGCGATAGTGACGAGGTTTCCACGGAGCCAGCAAGGAAAGAGACCTCGTGACGGCTTTCGTCTTCTTCAATCCTCCTGGTCTGTCCCATAGATCTTCCTGACTGCGAGACATCGTGCCGCCGTCTCCACCATTCCGACCCCGAAATGCTCCTCCAGGTGGAATATCAGCCACGGCAGCCGCATGCAAATACACTGATCGACTGGATTGGGACCCACTCGGTCGACTCAACTGGGATCCTTGTTCGGATTCTGAGCTCCCTTCGCCCACATTTCCTGGTCCCGGTCGTCGATGAGCCACACCTCCTCCTCTGGATGGACGGACAAGATTCGGATTGCTATGTTGGAGACTTGCTGCACTGCTCCGACTGCGCTTCACTTTTTCAGGTCGAGGACGAGCACCACTTCGCTCGCTGCTGCTGCTCTCTCCTCCTTGCAAATACCTCCCTCTCCCGGATGCACTTTCCGAACTTCGGCCGGGCTTCCTCGGTTTATGCTCTAATGTGGCGCTGGCATAATGAGCGGGCTCTTCAGACCGAGTCCTGTGACCTAACGGAGCCGAAGAGGATGCATAATGAAGATCTCGACCCAAGGATCGGGAACGAGACTTCTTCAGCCCATTACTTGAGCCACAGTTCGTATCTGATGCTCCATCGGAACTGGCAAGTTCACGTCGATAATCTAATCCCACGGCTTCACGTGACCCATATCGCGGCCTGGCATGTGGTGTCGTTCTTCTGGGCATCTGGGAGAAGAAAAATACTCTTCCTTAATTGTATACTGTCATCCCACGGGCATCTAGATAACGAACGATAAACGAACGAGAGAACCTAATTCTAGGACTCTGATCTCTGGCCAATGATAATCACTTTCATGCCAATGTTCAGACAGCGAAGAATCGTGTAGGCCTGAGCAAGAAAAGCAGAAAATTGCAGGAGGATTGGGAGAAAAAAGGCGGAAGTCGACTTCGGTTCAGTGCCGCGAGAAAGAGAAAACCCCAAGTGGAAACAATTACGATAGAGGCCTTTCGGATCGGAAATTGACGTGAAAAATGTGCACCTGCAAAGGGAATGGAGAGGAATTGCTCCGCTCTCTGATGAAGCAGAGAGTGAAGGAAGAGGAAGGTGAATGGCACGAGTGGGCCAAAAGGAAGAAGCCCACCACCCTGAGACTCCATCATACGGCTGTAAACTTTCTTGCCCGTTTAGTCAAAATGTAAGTGCTTTAATAAACTCAATAGACATACTTTCTGCGGCTGTTGGTGTGGATGCTGGCTCCTTCGATGCCTCTGGGGAAGATCTTCCTCGTCAGGAGAAGACCATAGAGCCTAAAATATGATGAGAAGGGAAGGTAGAGAAATAACCCCTGACTATTGGTTTTTACGCTGCTATCCAAATATAATTCGGCACGATCAAAAAATACTTTCTGAAACAACAATGTATTTATTATGAAAAACCCGTTTCGAGGTTACTCCACACACAAAATCTTAAAGGACACAGGATTGACAGTGGATAGCTTTCAATCATGGCTGTCACTCTGTGACAAGCTCATGATGCATATTTCATGGGTCAATATTGAGGCAACCCAGACATCCAGGACAACCTCGAATAATTTACAGGTATAATTTGAAGAAAGTTGCTCCCTTGCAATTCCTTAGCAATATCATCCAAAAATGGCCCTATTAGATTCCGTAACGAAGAATTTATTGGCTAATCAGGGATACTGATGTTATTATGGAACAATTTCTTCATCTTAGGTGCCACATGACACGACGCACGACACTTTAGGAACTCGATCATATTTAAAGGTTGCCTGAAGGCGGTGCCCTATATGAAGACCAAACAGACTGCGAACTGTAGTGGGGAGAAAAAAAGAACATCGTTTTTTATCATTTAGGATTTTTCATAGTTGACAATTTCTTTAACAGCAGCGTATCATCATGATTATATCTTTGCCAACTACCAATGCAATCATTGAAAATCTCCCTTCCCCTTCTGGAGACCGGTACCTAACGTGAACGCCAGGTAACACTCCGAGCGTATGCCTTTAGCTATGATGAGGAAACGTGGGAGGACGGGAAGGATTGATACACACTCTGAGGTCTTCTGTCTTTCCCCTAGCGACAGACGGAGAAACCCACAGCCCTATTATTCCCCAGTTGGGTTTCTACTTTCTCTTGGAGAAAGGAAGGAAACGGGGCTGCCCTCGGGTTTCCCGTTTTCCCCGAGAATTCCAAAGATTAGATGTCGACATTCTGCCGGGATTACTTGGACGTGATATGTGAAAGACACCCTCGAACCGAAAATACTGGAAAGCTAACCCCTTCGTTACCAAACAGTTACAATCGTGTGAGATTAACCCCCTCGAAACAAGAAAGCAAAAATTCTAAGAATTGCCTGTGAGGCATAAATCATTTGTGAGCACTCATCCCTCAAAATTATAAACAGCGGAAGAGGTTCTTTTCAGTACCAATTGAATCATTCAAGAGCTGACTGACATCCCTGCGAAGAGACTTTATTTGAACCTCACTTTCTCTTTGAGCAGTTACAAATGCGAAAGGATAGTAAATGAAAACCGGGAAGTCTCTGTGGCTTGCGAGTTAAGAGTGCAATCGCAAATTTACATTGCGGCATGAGGGGTGAAGGCTATTGGCACGATGCGATTCAGCTGTCAGGCCTCGTAGACATATTACATCCCGGTAATAGTATTGCTAAAACGGCATCTACCCTTAAGGAGTGCACCAAGAAAGACATGGCACGAAATGATTCGTTTCTTGATCGCAGGATGTGCACAGGGCGACGATATTCACTGCAGAATGAAGGGAGGTTAATGGCAACAATTGCATGTCGCAACGGAGGGCATACAAGTGCGTAGGGAAGCTCAAACGGTTTGAAGCACAAGGTCAACAACTGTGCGTGCGCTAGCTTCCTCCAGAGGCGACATGTTTCACATCCCCATTTGAACTTCGCGACGCATTTGCACACACTCCGTTGCGACATGTAATTGTTGTCATACGCTACCTGCTTTCAGTAGGGAATATCGCTGCTCTATGCATTTGTACGACAAAAGACGTATCATTCCGCGCATCATTTGCTTGGTAAATTCCATAAGGGGAGACGCCATTTTTTGCAACAATATTCGTAGGATGCAATACGTCTACCAGGCCTCCCTGTTGGATTACATTGCGCCAATAGCCCATCCCTTCCATGCCGCACTGCAGATTCGCGATAGCAATTATAGTTTGCCTACCATAGAGACTTTTCGGCTTTAATTTGTGTTTTAAAGAAGTGGCAAAGTGCGTTCGTGGCATTTTCATTCATGCCCAACTTGAAGGGATCATATTCATCACACGATGGTAATATTCGTCAGTAATCTAGAGCACCTCTAAAAAAAAATAAAACAAGGATTTAAAAATAATTCTGGGCTCCTATCTTCAAATCATAAAATCATTTGCAAGTAATATTCGCTTCGCATCACAGTCTGCTTTTGAATGCTTCAATGGAAGGAACCTTTTCCACGGTTTCACATCTTAAGAGATATCTGTTCTCAAAAGATGTACACTTCGTAGGCAATTCTTGAGTCCCGAAGTCTTGGTTTTAGGGGCGTGATTCCATGCGATTCCCACTCTACCAAAAACTGCTTTCTAATTTCTGATTTTTCTTTTTCTTTTTCTTTTTTAACAGCAAAGCATGCCAACTTGTAATGCATAATTTCCATCTTTTTTTCAATTTCAGTGCTAAAGGATAAGTACATATCCACCTCACTTGTTTGTGGGTACTTTCAGCATTGTATCGGCACTCGAGGCTCTGCGGCAACCCCCCAATCCGTCTAATCCAACGGGACGGCATCTGTCGAAGGTCAGCAGTTCTTATCCCAATTTCCATTTGTTTTTTTTTTTGACAATATGTATTTTATAGTATCTTCAGTGACTCGATCTGTGATGAACGGACCTCGATGGAGCACCATCGAGCACCCCGACTCGTCTTTTCTGCATTACGGTTTTAATCAATTACTCAGCATAATGGAAGCATTACAAGGTCATGGATTGCCAGCCACCAGCTGTCAACATTTCAGTTGTCACTGTCAGGGTTGTGATCACTGGCTCCTCTCTTCTGGGACAATCCCTGCATTTGGAATTGGTCGTTAAAAAATTGTTTTTCTTGCTCGAAGGAGACCTTCATTTCAAGAGAAAACTGGGTGAGAAAGACAATAGGAAACGGAAAAAAGCAGAACAATGGGATTTCCTTCACTCCTGATTTACATTCACTTTTACGCGTCTCTCTCGCATGCATGGGGAAAGTAAAAATAAATTCCACGATTAATGTTGAGCGCTTTAATTAGATTTTCGTTGAAGCGATAATGATCACCTCTCCGGCGGCTCGATTGAATTTCAAAATACTGTATAGTGTGGGCAAAAAAAAGCAAGCTATGCTCTTCAACAATATCCATGGCGTGAGAGAGTTAGAATCCACATAAGTGCAATCCATTTGAGTACTCCAATGCTTTGGCAAAGTCTGTGACAAAATATATCCATCACCTTCAACACTTCGGGTAATGACCGTCAAATGAGACCTCTACTGGTCAATGACGATGGCGAAAAATCCCTGGGAAATAGAATCCCACTTTTGGATTAACTTCGCTCACAATCTCCAGATTTTGGGGGCTCCAGTGAAATGTTTACTGAAAGTACTCCCCAAACTGCCTAACCGAAAGTGAAAGCCAGAGCTGTTCAGAGGTCCGATTTCAGGCTGTATCACATCCAGCATGTTCCAATGCCAGGCAGAGAACTTTTTTTGCGAGCCCTACAATAATACCTATCGCTGAATTTATTAATTCCCAGGGAAGGCACCAAACTTCACAGAGGCTGAAAATTGGTCACAGTGCAGGTCTGATACACATCCTGGGCCTATTAGTTTGAAAAGCACATCAAATAAAGGTTCATGAAAGCACCATTTTCGAGTATCCATGGGATCTGCAAGTGAAGAAGCTCTGAATATGGGTTTCTGCGACCCAGTGATTTTGCACTGGGCTATTGAATACATATCACTGGTGGTCACATTTAGCAGCCAAATTTCAAAAGTGGTTGATGTGATTTTGAACTCTTATTTTCATTCACTTTGCCAGAGTTGAAATATTCAAATGCAGTGTTCTTCTCTGATTAATATATTTTCTTAATCTGTAACCTCACCCCTCGGAATAATATCGGTTATTCAGAGAATGCTGGTCTCCGTTCGAAGGATTTTGGGGAGGAAAGAAAATATGCCTAAGAGGATGTGCTAGGTTCCTTGCAGAGCCAGCTTAGGGGAGAAAAAGAAGGGGGGGGGGGTCAGTCCCCTCTGCCCACCTGCAAGATACGTCATTGCTGTCTCACAAAAGATATGTGATTGTCTTGATTGGCATTTAGCTTCTTATGCAATCCCAATGAGTCAGACCCACATGGACTGACATTTCCTCCCACTGAAACACCATGCCATCAATCCTCTCCATTGAGCCCGACCCTTTCTTTCGCTGGCCTGGAGGTATGACTGTACCGAGAATGTAGCACTCCCACGATATAGGCGCGAGAGATGAGAAGAGACAAAGGCGCATTCCGAGACCTCAATTACCAAGGAAATGTAATGTGGCATGATCAACAATGAAGTTCGATGACCAGATGAGATGAGAGGAGGACACTTCTTCACGAGCAATCACTTTCCCCCCCTGACACGATCTTTCATGAATGGTGGCATGCATGAACGTGGTCGTGAGAGACCGGGGCAACATGGTCAAGCCTTATCTTGCATCTGCTCTCTTCCACCCCATCCATGTAATATCGTTATCATCATCATCATCATCGTCATCATCGTCATCACCACCATTCACCATCATCACGGCCACGATCGAGGAGATCCGAGAGACAGACCCATGGTCTAACCGAAGTCCTCTTTCTCGGGTGGCAAGGTGCCAGGGAAGATGGAACTAATAGAGGGGAAGAGAGGCGTATCCTTCTATACGCCAACGTCTTTTGTGCCTACACGCTTATCCCAGTCTGCGTCTACGTAGATGAGAAACCCCCATTGCGACACACTTCTATGTGCACATTCTCTGAAGCCTTTCTCAACTGTCTTCAGATTACTGGAGTCAGAGATCTCCCACGATCATGGGAGAAATACACCAAATAGGTTCACATTTAATGCATTCATCAGCACAATGGACTTTCGTGTGCTTCATCAACTGAATGAAAATGGATTCTCACAGGAGCTCATTGTGACTTTAAGCAAATTCGAGTTGAATCGATCACCTTAAAACAGAAACGCGACCTCCCTTCCACTCCAACGGAAGGCCCATTACCTTGTGGAATAGGGGAAAAGCAATCGGCATCGTCGATTATTATGGTAACAGCCGAGAGCAAAGCTGGGAATGATGTAAACATGAAATGGCCAGAGGGCCGGAGCATTCCATTGTAACCATGTTCTCGTTACATTTTTCCGGATCAGAGTAACCATTTTTCACCTGCACGACGCAAATTCTTCCTCCCCTCTGCCCAGTCGACTTCATTTCCCTGAAAATGACTCCTCTAGGATGTACAATAGAATGCCATCATGATGGTACTGAAGATCGGTAAAATCCAAGGGTGTGAGTAATGGGAAAATAGGAGGGTAGGTGGCAGGAGCCAGGGCGATGGACCAGATTGCTATTGACAGGTGTGGAACCTTGGCACGAGGAACGAGGAATCCAACACCAACATGACCTTGAATTTTTAAATCTAATCTCATCTACACCATTTCATGACTCGAAGCATTTTCCTCCGGACAGGTTCCGTCTCTGAAAATAACCACCGCCTATAGCCTCCTGATTGCTTCTAAATGATTTCACACGTGGACACGGTGGAACTAATAGGCAAATTGTCGGTCTCTCCGTGGACCACTCCTCTTGGAGTCAATATAGCTTAGCTTTAGGGGTTTCATGGCCTACTTCAGGCACACCTCGTCATTGGATTCCTCCAGATCAGGCAATGCAAACTCTTACTGGCATTATTTGTTGCGCTTTGGACAATATACTAGTACAGTATATTGAACGCACGATCCTCCAAAAGATAAGATGCAGGAGTTATTGCAGGTAGTCATATGATAGACAATTCGCGTTCTGAATGCTTCTAAAAATATCTGATATATCAATTTTAAATCAGCATTTTCTATAATTATTTCCGATCACATTTTCTTACACCTCTATCGTTTGCGGTGGAATAACTCTACAGATGAAAATATTAATTTCAATTTTGAAGTTCACTTGGGGATGCTAATAATTTTTCTCCTAGCTATGTAATAGATGCAAAGCTTAGACTTTTAGCTGTGCTTTGCACATTGAGCTTCTAAACTTCCTCTAAACACTTGAATCTTGTACATTGATAGTAATAGGCCTCGGAAATGAAATGGCGAATAATTATGATTATCGAAGGACAAAAGAGTAAGGTTGGGAAAGGAAAAGAGCAGGAACCTACCTGGGAGTCTTGACTGAGCTGATAATCATCAGAGTCATGGGCTTGAGCAGCCGTGAGGGTAAGAGCCTTGACCTTGGCTACCTCAGACGGGTCTTCCCGTGTAACTTGGGGTGGAGGCGGACCCAAAAAGGCATTAAGGAATTGTTCCCGAGATCGGGAGATCCTGGGGTCCGTCGGGACGTGACCGTGACGAGCGTTACCTTGATCGTGCTCGTCTCCGCGGATCTCTATCTTCACCACATGCTCTTCATTGGATACCTCAGGCCCCTTGTATTCCACGAATCCCCGGAGATTCTCGATGTCCGAATCGGAACGCGTGGGGTTGTGCTCAAACGTAATTTTGATTTTTCTGCTGTGTTTCTTGCTGCTTCCACTTGGGCTCCCAACTCGTCTCTCCCTTTCCTTTGCCTCTGTGGCCTTCTTTACCAATTCTGCAGATGCCAATTTCGCTTGCTGTGGAGAGACCGAGGATGAAACGACGTGATTGACCTTCTTCTCTGGACGGACTTCAGCCACGGGTTTCCGGAATTTCCCTTTGATCCGCTCCAATGTGTTGAAGACGGCACCGTGATGACCTTTCTCTTTCTTCAAGGAGCTTTTCCGCTCCACAGCACGATTCCCAATCATGTGGTTAGGCGGTCCGGCTCTATTCTTGTTCTCGTGGATTTTGTTCAGCTCGTTCTTCCTCTTCACCTCTGAATATGCAGACGTGGAAGTCAGTCGTTTATTGTTTACATCAGCGGATTCCTTGTTGATGGCATTGGCATAGAAGTACGGTTCGGGACCCTTCGGGGAACGTTTCCTCTGCGGTCGAACTGGGATGTTCGAGGGTTCGTCATACCCATTCACAACGACCCGAGAGATGTTCTTTCTCCTCTCCTCTTGAGGGTTCTTGACCGGTGTTGCATAGTCATTATAAAGGGGCCTGTTCGATTTCGACGGTGGGACCTTCGGAGCATTTCCGTATCCTCCTCGAATTTCCCTGGGTCTCTCTGGAGACGAAGAACTGTCTCGATCTCTCCTGTTCATGCCTACCGGCGGGATCTTGTATTGGGTACGAGAGGAATAGATGTTTTGAGAAGTGATTCTCTGGTCTGGCGAACTACCCCGACTGGAAATTCTTGGCTTCTCCCCCTCGGAACTCCGATCCGGTGAACTGTCCAGATAATCCCGGTATTTCCCGTTCATGTATCGACCAGCCCGGTACTCGGACCCACGTTGCTTCTCCTGGATCTTCATATCAGAGTACGTGGGATGATGTTTGATGTATGACGACTTGGAGAGACCGATCCTCTCGTCATCTTCTTGAGATTCTGTCCCTGTGCTCGCATCCGGTAATCGCTTATGCACTGTCGACTTCTTCTGTCCGTTCACCGTCACTTGAGCGTAAATGACCTCATGAGGAGAACGAAGCGCCGATGAAGTAGGAGAACTCGGCGGAGTCTCCTCGCCGGGCGACAAAGACGCCAAGTTCGGCTGCAAGTACGAAAAAGGCCGGTTTTTGTTATGGGAGTGTTGGCCGTTAGCTTGAATCAGCCTCTCCGGGGACAGGGAACGCTGCGATAGAGGGTTCAAACCGGCACTTTCCATGTCCCGTCGAACCAGGTCTCGCTTACGCGCCTCATCGTTGAATCTCTGCACCAGGGCATTCACGTGATTATTCTGTTGAGCCAGGGTTTGATGTTGATGAAATTGACGGAGAGGGGAAAGATTTCGCTCCATCTTCTCCGGTTCCGGCGGGGCCTGCTTCCGACGTGGACGATGATAGAAATTCTGGTTCTGGGAGGGTGCTGACGGGGGACTGTTGACCTGATGCGAGGTTTCTAGAATCGGCTCCAAACTCCCGCCATTCCCATAATCGGTTTGCTGTGGAGGCTGCTGATGATTATGGTGGTGTGAACCACGGTTAATCTTGTTCCTCAAAGCCACCGTTGGTAGAGTCCGGCTCCCCGTGCTGTGCTCGCTAGAATCTGGGATTCGCGGCGGGGGTCTTTTCTTTGCTCTACTATCCGATCTCTCGATCGTGTGAGGGTGAGTTGGGAAAGGGGAAGGAGAAGCAGAGCAGGAGATTTGATCCACCTGTCTAAGGACTGCGGCTGCTTCCCTTGCTACCTCTTCCGGAGATAACGATGGCTCTGCACGTGCTACCCGAAAATAATGATGAGAATCAACTCCTTCTGGGATGACGGCAACGACTCGACCTCTACTGTCCACAACAGCTCCTTTTGGTATGTGCTTCACGTGCACACTCTTGTTGAATGACACTCGCTTCTGAGAGGCGTCTGATCGCTCGGACTTCAACGATTCTGAGCGTTTCAAATTGACGGGCATCCTTGCCATGAGGCCGAGGCCTGCATCCTTCCCCTCTCCACGCACGCCTCCGATCAATTATTCGCCGTCCTGTAAAACCAACACCAAATTTCTCATTAAACTCCAGTGTTCCAAACATTAATTAATGAAGAATTCCTATTAATAGCTTCAAAAAAGCCATACGTTGAGAAGGCGCAACTGACGAAACAGTTGACTTGGGGACATTTCAAGAGGATAATAGGTAAACTATGAAACAGTGCAAAAGTCCTGCAACAAGACCTTGAATCCCTCGGCCGAGGAGCTAAGGATAAATTGCACAGAATCAGAAATCTCACTTCACGCTCCAACTATTCAAAGAGGTGTCATTTATTGCTCTAAAATTTTACCCGAAGTGGCATACCAAATCGATTTTAAAGCGGAAATTTCACCCTTCCCTAAACCTTTTCACTCTTAGAGAAGCCTGATAGGCCTCATTAGTTGGTTTTGGCCATTTGGTTTTGATTGATGGTTCACTTTTACTATAACTTCCGACTCAGTTTAAAGAAGCCTCTTTGCTTCGAGTAGAAGGATGAGTACAAAAATCCGAGTTTAGAAGAGCCTCTCCCGCCTTCTTTTCCTCATTCGCCCAAACACACATACCCTTAGAACTGGCCCAATACATTTGGTCGAAAACGTTTATTAGCAAAGTCACAGTAACAGTTGAACTGAGAATAAGAACATGCGCACTTAGAAGAGGATCAAGTGACAAAATGATGACTAATTGCAATTACTTCCTCGTCTCCTCTCTTTCCTGACGTGGTACAATCCCCTCCTTTCGCCGGAAGATTGAGCGAAGAAAGATCACATTTCACTCTGACTTTTTATGGTTACTTTTTATAGTATGAATCACTTTGTTTCTCAGATATGCGCTTGTACATCACCTTCTCCAGAATCTGATATGAGACTGCGTCACTGGCTGTTAGCAAGTGGGTAGGGATCGATTCGAAAGGGTCCATTTTTAGGCAATGTACTCTTCAGAGTGAGTTTGAGAATGAATTAGTTTCTTGCTTGCTCAACGAAGCTACATCCCAAATATACGGGATCGTAATGATCTGATCTCTACTGTGACCTCAGTATCGCGATAAAGTGAAAAGGAGTTAAGATTCTAGACTATGTACTATAGAAAGGTTCGAGTGCTTTATATCATCAGATAAGATGATATAAAGCCTCTAGCAAATCTACCATAAAACTTATGCACATAGACTGATGGGCATTGGACTCCCAAGGCGTGCTGATAACGGAGGAGGGGAAGCTTATGGATTGAAATTATCCGACCAGCAAGAGACGCACGAGAGAAAAAAAGGCGGGGGGAGGAAGGGTAGAGGGTAATTGGGACCGATCCATCATTGAAGCTTCGATGATGCCGGAAAGAGTAATTAAGCAGGAAAGCCATGCGTGCAGACATCACGGGTCGAAGGGCAGGTTCATGTAGAAATTTGCGGGGGAAAGAGATTTTCAAGTCATGGGCATCATGGCTGATGAAAGATGATGGGAGTAGAGGAAAGTGAAAAGGGTGACTGGCACACAAACCCAATAGCGAGATCACGACATCTTTTTACTCCAATGCATCCAAGTCTCCAAAGGGTTCCCCATCAACTCTCACTCACTCGATGAAATGGACCAGAACAATCGGTTGTAATTGCCCTCAAAGCTTCAAAGACGGGATCTAGGAGACTCTGCCCTGATTGCAAGCGAAGGTCGATTAAGGAAATCACAAATTACTTTCTACACGACGTTAGCCTCTCTCCTTTATCTCCCACCTCTCCATAGAATCGGACTACTTTCCAAACTCATTGCCCTCTCGACGCAGAGCAATAGGGCAACTAGGAATTCTTTCCAGGATGGGGGTGCTGCTAAGAGGATCTTATGACTTAATTACTTTTTTTAATGCAGTCTTTTGACATTTTTTAACTTTTACGATGCCTGAGGGTTTTTTTTTCCTATTTAGGAATCTTTTCACTTCTGTTAAACAAGATTATTTTTATTTGTGCGGATTCCAACGAAATTTCTTTTTTTTTTGTCTGTAAAGGTTGCTAAACATTTCTTGCTTACTTTTGTAATGAATAGCTTTCACCCTTCTTTCATCAGCGTATTCCGTGGTTTGCATTTGTAGTGTCATTGATAAAGCGCCTGCCACCCGTGAGGCATTTACAAAACCGTTCTGTACTCGACAGATCTTCGGCAGCCGATCCAATGCACTCTGGCCCTCTTTGGCTCATGGCCACGAGACTGGCGCTCCTCTCAATTCAATATGGCTCCAATCCAAAGATTTCAAAAACTGCTGACTAAATCCAGGGCAGCTGTGGACATAGCCAGTATCGCAAAAAAAAAAAACCGCGGAAGCTTCAGGTAGCTGGCCTACAGGGGCTTAGGAAATCGGGCAAATATTAGAAATTGATTTTTTGCTTCCTTATAACTTTTAGTTACTTCAGGATACAAAGGTGGAATTGGTACCAAAAGAAATCTTTCACTTAAACGAGACTAGTCCGTAGTTTTATTATGATATTGTTACGGAGGGGAAAGTGGGAGACGGACGATGGAAGGCATGAGAGGACGAAAGAAGCCAAGGAACGGCCGGGAATTGAACCCGGGCCTCCTGGTTGCCGTTCAGGTGTGCTACCTCTACACCACCGAACTCCGGACATTCAGGCGAGCCTCTCGATGCCATCCTCATCCGTCACAATATATACTTGCAATCGGAAGCCATTATGCCAGAAACTTAGATAAAGTACAAAATCGGTCATCCAGGTAAAAATATGAATTGATGAATTGTCACATTTTGAAGAGTTGCGTCACCTCTTCAAAAGCGTAAAAGAACTTCCATGGTATCTTGAACGTTGAATTTTTTAATTGAAAGGATAGGCCACTTGGAAATAATTTTCTTTCAATTCAACTTTACAATCCCTTAATTGAAAAAAGTATTTCAAATTTTTAAATCTCATTTAGAGAGCTATGAAGAAATGTTTTGTGCATGTGTCGCGGACACCGAGGCAGCGCCTTGATTCCTCAACAAATTATGGAAAGTCTTAGACTGCGCGAAGAAAGGTTTGTCTCGAACCAAAAGTAATCCGGGGATAAAGGGGGGGGGGAGCGAAAGCAGGCATTTGCCATGAGATTGCGCTTTCGGCATCCCTAGCCGTATCATCTGCTGGAAGCCATTTGGAAAAAAAAACACACTCACACTGCATTTATCACCAATTGTGGCAGGAAACATGGTGCTCCAAACAGGGAGGATTTGCAAGAGCAGACAAACGATTGAACACTCTCATCTAGGAGTGTGATACCCGATCTATAAATGACTCCCTCTCAAGGGTCATTTTACATGACATCACCAAAGGTGTATGACGTACATAAACAATGCACTTGGTTATATACGTCAAACACCTACGCCCTTGGTGATGTCATGCAAAATGGACGACACTTACTTTTTTAAAATTGATATTATTATTATAATTTTTGCATGGAGATGATCATGCGTGACGATGGAGTAAAAATGTTCCTAGACTTTACTTTTAATTTTTACAGAGACTGTGATCTCTGAAATTCAAAATGTTACCATAGAGAGGCACATGTTAGCTCTTAAAAATGCGATCTACTTTATCCCTTTATCTTTGTTCATTCTCTTTCAGGGATTTTCGGAATTTATGTGACTTTATTCCTGAGATGAAACATTTGCAGGCTGAGCAAACAGCAAGAGTGAAATTTTTAGTCATCATATATTCCTATATAACTGAAGACTGTTAATCGAGACAGTGCAGTACCCAAAGAAAGGTGCATTCCACGAGTAAGCTGAACTTTTCCTAGAGGGACGAGATAGCCTTGACAATGACCACCGCGACGGCGGGCCTAGTTCAAATATTACTCTCGGTAACTTTCAACGTGCGGTCCGCACGCCGCGTCCAGTAGGATTGTTGAATAACCATGGATGAGTTAGAGAAAGGTATAGAAACCTCGACCATCATTAGTTCTTTCATGAACTTTCTTTTCAAATTCTTCATGAACATTTTCGTCCAACCAGTCGAAATTGGGTAGGCGCTTTTTCCTGCCTGGCTCGGCATCACGGGATTGCATTGGGGAAAGTGATACAAGACTCACCCCTTTGAGTGCACCCATTGAATGAAAATGAGCAAAAAGGGGTATGAAATGCCTTCAGACAGTTGGCCTCGTCCGGAAACATGGCTCAAAAGATTTGGCCTTCTAGGAAGAATCGTAGTGATTCATGGCCCTTCCAATCCCACATACATAAATTCCGTTCTCTCCCGTGCACAAGGGAGAATGGGGTACTATGGAACTCTGGATTTTTCTTTTAAATTAGATGGAGCTGGATATGAATCAACTGGCGAAGCCGTCGTGCTACCCTTCACACCTGTGACGTTTCCTTGCGATCGGGCAACCTGGGTTTAAACCGTGAAATTCGAAAATTCCGCGCCTTGACTAAATTTTTTTTGTTGCATGATTTTGATAATTGGCCCTTTCGAATATGCTTTTCTTGACCCTAATTATTAAATTCAGAGGTTGGTCAGGACTTGGATCCTGTTTTAGACCATCAAGTTTTTTATTAGCTTGCCAGAGTGCTTCTCCGTCAAGAAAAATAAAGTCCCAAAATGATGGCTTGGGTAGGAGAGTTGGTAATATTCAAGACTCACAGACTGACAGCAAAATCTACGAGACTGATTTCGAAGAATGAGATACCGTTGGACGCAACTCGCTTTGGCTGCGTGCCTTTCGAGTATCTCACATCCTGATCCAGTAGTGCTAGGATCACAGAAAAGTACTTTCGATGGACCATAGAACCAGTCCGAGGAAGTGGGCATGACTCGTCCGTTGAGCACTTACCACAAGTTGTTCTTATGCTATGGTATTTGCAGCACAAAAAAAGAAACTAGACGTTGAAAACCTATCAGCACAAAAGAAAGCGCCTGGGATCACTGACCCCCAAAAGCAAGGAAACAATAAGAATAAGAATCGCCTGCGAAGACAAAAAGTATTGAAAAGCATCCTGTCATGCCTTCCCTAAGAACCGATTCTCACTCATACCTTTTTGTATCTTCATGCACTTCGCCCCATACGCATGCGATCAGGAGATAAAGCTCAATGTCATCACCGTATCACCGACACTAAAAAATGACGTGAGAGAGGGCCTGTCATTTTCAGAGTATCATAACAAACTACGCCCATTTTCAACTTTAGGTTATTCCATTCCATTTAAAACATCAGGCTATTCCTAAATACACCATAGAAACGATATTTTCGACACGCGAAATTTTTTTTTTGTTGAAAACCCTTACTCTTGATAACTATCAGCCCTAAATAGGGGAGAAGCACCAGTTCGCGAACGAGGGTCATGAAATGCGATTTGGCCATTTGTTTCTCGAGTTACACGCTCCGGCTTTCGGTATCTGCAGAAAATGGATTGATTGATTAATTAATGCTTGGGATGGAGTGTGAAACTAGAGCAACAAAAGGCCAAATCGCGTTTCATGACCTTCGTTCGCTAACTGGCTCCCTGTTCGCGAACTGGTGCCGCTCCCCTAATCATTTTAAAAAACCCTTGCTTTGTGCTTCGGATCTTTTCGTCATGAAACCACATGGATTTGTAACACCTCGGACGCCTTAACGCCTGGACGCCTGAAATTCATAGAGAGGATGCAACCGCCAGGTTAAGGTTGAAAGGCCTGCTCACAGTCTGAATTTGAATCTGTCTCACAACACATACTTTCCCGACTCTGAATTCGCATATTAGAGGTGTGGCAGATGGAAATAAGCCAGGAAGAGCATCACGTGTTCACAGTTATCTGTAAAAGAGGATGGAGAATGAGATGAAGGCTGCGCGTGAATATTCATGCATCAAGGGAGTTCTCTCTGCTATTTCGCTTTTGTCTCCAATGCGTGCAGGACTGAACTAATGAGCTCAAACACACAATGGGCAACAGTACACATGCACAGACTCCATAGTAACCGCACACATTATATCAGTTATTTACTCTAGCTTGCCTATTTCCCCTCGCATCCGGTACACTGATGAATCTCACTCTACCTTCAAAGGAGCGAACAACCATGTCTCGACGCCATCACAGGGGGAGATTACGTCAGAGGAAGTCTGTCGGGGGATGACAAGAAGGATGTCAAGAGAGGTTCGGAAAAAAACTCTCGGTTGCTTAGCACGTGGATATTCTCATAGTGGGTCATTTAAGAGTTGTATGGTCTTGCGGATCCCGTAATGGGATCTTTTCCACCCACAACTTCTAGAGGCTAGTTTCCCAGCTCATTACGGAGCATAGAAATCAAGTGAACGGACCGGAAAGTAGCATATGGTGGGGTGATTTCCATGTCGAGTAAGAGAAGTGACCGCAATAGAGGTTTCGTAATACTCGCCGCTGAGCTTTGCATGCCACAAGACGATGTCTTACCGTTCCTCTACCACCTTGCCAGCTTTCCCTGTGGAAAGCCATAGCATTCCCCCAGCATATTTATGTGCACCCATACTTGTGGGACCGGGACTGGATACACAGAATCAGATCAACAACCAGTCCAAGACGAATAGGACCGGTCTGCAGACTATCTGCATCTCGTATTCGTCATCCTCGGAGAAGGAAAAAAAAAAAGTTGGGGGAAGGTGAAAAGAAAAAGATCCTCTCTCCCCTCTCTCCCATGGGCAGATTCCCCATGAGGACTGAGGATACCTAATATGGAGATATGATCCGGTTATATAGCTCCTGTAAAAGGTAGAATCGATAGGCGAATCACGTATCTCTTGGTCGTCGTCGCCTCCTCCTGTACATACGAAAGCCCTGCGTGACTCCTACTGGAACCAGCTGGAACTCTCCAGTTGTGTTTGATGCAAACAGCAGCTGTAAGCAATTGCAGGTCATCATTGCATCACCGCCGGAGACGGTGAAAGACACGTTCTGCCTCTCTCCCCTTTCAGAGGATCTATGCTTCCCTATCGAGCATTTTATGCCTGTTCATCAAAGAAATCGCAGCTACTCACAGACTTTCCCTTTCATCTCTCCCCGGGTAACCATGAGTAACAGTGCGAAGAAGAGCAAGGTGAACATTTATTCTTTTCCCTGAGTGCATTCTGCACCGCTAGCAGCGCTGCGCCTGATTTATCTGGCTCTGCTGTAAAAAAATATCAGCTAGTCCCCACTAGAACCGTTTCTCTCCAGAGGTCAGATAATGCTTATTCTATATCGCCTTGTGGTCCCATGAATCATTGACGTTGGTCTTCGTCTTGACAGAAGAAGGTGAACTGACAAACTATGTGAAGTAAGGTATACGGCTCACAAAATACCGGCATCATGAAAATAGAGGCCTATAATCGGGATGGATTTAGGATGGAGTTGATCTGAGCTCGATCCATCATCGGCGGCCAGGGAGGTGGAGATCTCCACGGACAGCTTCATCCCTCAAATCCTACACATTATTATACCACTCCCTGTTCCTGCCTTTCATCGTCTATTATCATCCATACAAGTCATTCCGAAATCCAAATATCGTACTCAGCTTGTGATATATATATTTGCAATGACCTAATCAGCGTACGATATATGAATTTTAAAACCTAATCGTGAACCTAACACTCCAGTAGAATCGCGTTGAAGGATTCCAGAATGCGTCGATTACGGTTTTCCTACAGCTAATTGTAGGGGGATTTACCAGTTACTCCGTCCCCAGAACTCCTCGAGCGAAGGAGATGAGATAGCTTGGGAAGGGCTCAGCAATCAGTGGTCAAAAGGCCCAACTCCATCTAACTACGTCTAATCTCGTCATTAATCAAGGAAGCGAAATCTTCCGCACGTTCTCACCCTCTTTCTTCCGCTTCCCTTCTTCATACACCTCTGGACATTTGAAGCTACGGCAATTGACAGGTGAACGACAAACGAAATGAGGAATTTCAAGGCAGTAGCAAAGCAAACTAGGACAAAGAGACATCTGGATCCCGAAGAGACTGGGAACGTCGCTTTGTTTTTGCATATAGGAGATCAATCAGGGCTATCGAGGTTGGCATAATGGCGTCGGAATGAGGTCTCTGGCTTGAAAAGGTGTCTGTGGTTGTGGTGAAAGTTTTCCCTTCCCTTTGGTCATTGAGAAACACTAGAAGAACTGTGAAAACTACCATCCTCCCACTCCTTTTCCTCGAAATAGACAGGCTCCTTTCCTCCATCAGCATAGTCCACACCCCCGCCTTTCCATCCCTTTCCATCCCCGAAAATCATTTAGACCGTCACTCATAACTTCCCTCGAATCAAATACTGTCTGCCTACACTCGTTTGGAGAGCAGGTAATCCTAGGTCCATGATATGTATAAAGTTATTCATGAGACTTCAAAATCAGCACACTCCAGTCACGGGTAAGATCGAGAAGAGTAGACTGCGTCATTGTGAGACTGTTTCACAGTGGGGATCAAGAAGTTTTTGCGTTGCTCAGCAGAATATGGCAGATTTCACTCCCACGTTGACCCAGAGGTTGCTTTTACGTGGGATCTACCACTCTACAAGGGCAAGCGGTGGTCAATAATGAACCAGAGAGGCCCAAGCAATTGCGTCGTGCTGGTCCCTCCGAAGAATGCATATCGGAGGGAAAAAAAAGCACTTCCATATACAGCTCAGCATGGCTTGTCCAACTTTCACTGATGCTATCGACAGATGATCCGAAACACTCATTGCTCAATACTTCGATGCATCCATGTATGGACAGGTAGACAGATGACAGAACAGAGAGAACGAGAAAATCTGAGAAAAGGCGTCGCACTGGCAGCGCAAGGAAGTCCCTGGGATCGATGTGATACGATGCAATGAGTCTGTGACACTTTAGGAAGCACGGCCCCTTCGTGTGGGATTGGAATGAGCATATGCATTTCTTGTTTGGTACTTTTCAGGCAGAAACCTGTAGCTCATCGCGCATTCGAATGCAGAATGGTGGGCGAATATCCGCCCCCATTCTCTCTCTTTAACCTAGAACCTGCTTAGTGCTCCCCACAGTCCTGTCCAAGGACTCTTTCCTCCCCCACTCCGAGACACGGAAGTCCTTTCCAAGAAAAACTCCGTACTTGATCACCAGGTCAAGTACCCTTCTTTTGCCCTGATTGCTCATCATCCTATTCCACGATGACGGAGAAATGCATATCGTTGGAAAGTTAGATATAGTGCCAATGAAATGTAATTTGCCGTCATTTCAACATGGAATAAGGAGTGGTTCAAGGTAATAGCGGGGACTATACCAGCTCGAAAACGCCCAAGGAGCGAACAGTTTTTTTTTTCCTTACACAGGAAAACATGTTACAATTAACAGCGGATGCTTCTACTTCTGTTCTCCGAGTCATCAATCTGGAATGCATTCAGGCTCCCCCTCGTCTCTTTTCAGGTTGTTGCCCTCATTTCAAGGCTTCAAGCGCCGGTAATCCTCACAACACCCCAGATGATGTACTCTATTGAATTACCATCCCTATCAAACAATGAAACGACCTCTCTGGCCGAAGGGTTGAGCAGGTCAATGTGTGAGCCTTCGCTCCTTCACGTAACGCAGCTTTCATCTCCAGACAATGGATATTATGTGCCAGCAGTAGTTACGGATCAACGTATGGAATGCAGAAGAAGGGAAGGGAAACTGGAAAGGATCAGTTCTCATTTCGCAAGGCCAGCGGAAAAGGTAAGGGGCGAGAGAGAGAGAGGAATACAAATGCGGGAGTAGGCGGGACACGAGATAGAGGATATAGGGATGGGAGCACATGTGACACTATTCCCCCCTCAGCTCTCTTCCCATCACCCCCGATCGTCCCGTTTTTGGACCTTCCTCCACAACCCAGTGGGAATATAACGGTGATATGGGAGATTTCTCCCTTGGAATATTAGGGATGGAGAAATGCATTTCAGTACCCCAGGGGATGAATCTCAAGTGAATGAACTTTAAGTTCTTCTACTAGGAGTTTGTACTGAATCTATATAGTACATTTTGATGCGTGAAAGAAGAGAATACTGACCAGTAGTGTGAAGCTCGACCCTGACCTACATGAAAACGAAGTTAAGGAGGAATCGTGACTAAACCCATTTATGGAGAAGTCTCTACGTCATGGGACACCTACACATACACACACACATACGCACACACACTCCACTCCTCCCCCCCCTCACTCTCTCTCTTTCTCTCTCTTACTGTCTCACATGAACGAACTGAGAGTCACAAGACCCAGCACACATTCTTATCGAGCTCGGTGGGCGTATTTTCAAGATAAGTATAAAAAGGACTAAAAACTTAAATTTCTCGTACCATAAGGTAGCAAGGGACATTTGAGTCTCGCTCGCGTGGGCGCGGGAGAGAATAGCATTTCAGTAAGCTCGTGCCTACGGTATCGGGTGGGAGCAAGACTGTATTTCGGAACTGGGATTTCAACATCTTCTCAGCGGGTTCTGTCAGTTCCCTGTAATTCAGGGAATCCTTATTCTCTGGAGTCTCGAAATTGAAAGGGACATCTTGCAACAGATTGTCGTATTAAAATTCCACCACCCTCCCATCTTTCGCTCTCACATAATTTTTTGTAGCATGAATGAGATCTCGTTTGCCCTCAATCTTGCTACCATTCTGTCCTCGATTATCCTTGTCTGCACGTTCAGCACATACTTTGGGAATTTAACACCGATTTTGGAGCTCTTAAGGGAGTAGGCACGAGCCACTCTGTTCCTAGGCGAGCTGATCACGCGTGGGAACTAGAAATCTCAGATACCTATCCAGTTTTCAACCCATCGCGTTTCGCTGGCTTCGCTACGGTGCATTGCAAAATGAATTCGTACCAGCTTTGACATTGGGCAGGGTTTATTTGTTTCTTGTTTTTTTTTATAGGGGGAGGTGTGTGCAAGAAGATGAGGCCTTGCCATGGAAGAAAGGAAATTAGGCCTGCAGAGCTCATGCCATAGACGGAAAATCCCAGAAACAGTCCTGAGGGAAGGAAAGGTTCCCCCTCCCCCCCGTCCTGCTCCTGATCATCTGTCTGATCCCTCTGACTGGGAATGCTACTCTTTTTCTCGAGATAGGGATAAACAAAGAAACTGTAAATAAAAAGAAACGAGTGGTACAAAGTAATTTGTTAGCAGGAACGGGATCAGAGACGGAAAAGACCTTGGGATCGGACGGAAAAGGGAGCAGGATTAATGGGAGCGGGCGGGACTGGAACTTCGTTTTTTTTTTCTATTATAAAGGAAGGTTACTCTTTACATGGGGAAGAAAGGGTGGAAGCACGATGGGTGCACGGATCTGATCCTCAGAGTGGATAAAAAGGATGAAGGAAAAGGAACGAAAAGGAGGAGAATGAGGATGATGATGATGATGACCTGAAGGAACTGATGATGTAACCCCCTCTCCTTGTGTGGCAATTATCTCTTGTGATTTATTGCATCGGTTCATCGAGACAAAGACTCTCTCTCGTTCCATGCCCTTTAAAAGACCCTCGCCCACCTGAAGTGGGCAAACATAAAAGAAGCACGTGTTTATTTTTTGAAACATACCCTGTCCGTTCTCCAGCACAGGGACCATAACCTACTCAGGTTCCCCAGTTTATCCAAATTTCTTCTAAGGACATATGCTCTACATAGTAGAAATATAAATGGCTTTGGGTATGGCGAGGACAAGCAACGAAAATTTCCTCTTCCTGCAATCATCAGTAACTAATGGTAACAAGTTTCCCTAAACTTGAGAGTTCATACAATAGTTGAGTTAGTTATTTTGTCCATTTGCTTCCATCTTAGCTGTTTTTTTTTTTAAGTTCTACAGGGTGGTCCATTTAAATGGAACCATAGGGAGTAATAAAAACTGAAAAGTCATTTATTTACAGTATAACGTAACAGATTTCTTTCTTACGTGAGGTTTATCCAACACAGATCTAGTCGCTATAAATTTGGACAATAACTTCATGACGCAACTGTGAGTAATGGGTTCACGATTTGGATTGGCTTCATTCAAGTCCGCAGCTGTCTGCCTCGCAGTACGTGAACCACACATCAAAATGACTTGCACCCTTTCGTCTTTGAATAAATGCATTATCTTCACTTAACCCTCACAAATTTGAATCTGAAATAATAAAATATTGACTATTCCATATGATTCCAATTAAATGGACCGCCCTGTAGTTAAAATTTAAAGTACCGGTGGCTGGCTGATCCTCAACTAGTCACATTACCTATGAACAACTAACTCGTGTAAAACGAGTTGGAAGTTTTCACTGGCCGCTCACATTTTCTTTCGTATCACGCACGCAGTTAAGTTTTAGAGAGCTGGTACAACATGCGCCACGATATCCTCCGTCGTAGTCCTCCAACCGAATATTTTCCAGTAGTGATGATGCAAACAATTCAACCTTGTTGCGGGCCATCACGTACCTTTCGAGGATGATGGCATAGCATATAATGAAACTAGTTAGCTTTCTGACTTCTACAGACGGCTCTTCTGGAGTCGTGTAACTTTTAGTTTAGCTAGCCTCAATACATTAATACATAACAAGTTTTACAGCTTCACTACTAGGATACACACTGGATTACATCATCTCCATGCTGTAATGGCATTCCAAAACTAATAAATAACTGAGCATAAGTTCGGAAAATTTTATCTCCGCTTTGATGTAAGACTCCATTTTTGCCGGATACGCTTGCTTCTGAAAAACTGGAAGTTTTTCGTTCCAGTCTCTTAGCTTCAATATTTGAAAGAGTCCTTCCCGGACGACCTGTTAAAGCGTTTTCCTCCCATACATGCACGAATAACATGAATAACATTTTCTTTTCTTTTGTTATATACTAGTGAATATGCCAGCCGCGTGGATTTTACGTTGGAAATTGAATTCTACGGTACTTTCGGGGATCTCTTGAATCAAGAACACTAGCTTTGGGCAGATGACAATACAAGTATCAGTGCCCCTTTGAATATGATAATGGAAAAATAGAGCCTAAACCAACGTTCATCGATGCAGGCATAGAAATACATTAATCTTCTTGGTTTCGTACGTGTTAGAGATAGAGCCTCCAGCCATCGGCTCCTGCAAATGTGAAGGGTTACCGTGCAAACCTTCGACGTACCAGTACATAAAAAAACAAAGCCAGAAAGACAAGACGGGGGGAAAATCTCAATAAGGGAGAGAAGGAATCTGACTCACTGGCGATTCTTCATGAGGGACATGAAAACATCCATTACCTGGGCAGGTTTGACCTTTCACTATATACTGAGAACAATGGGTTCTCCTTCCCCCTCATTCCTTACTGGTCCTATTCCTGCTCAGACTTCCCTTTGGTACACGCCTGCACGGTCTTCGATCTTTACTGTTCCGCTCATATCCGTATGGGCCTATGGAGATCCTTGGAATAAAGGGGTAGATCGGTCCGTTACCGACTGACCATGCAAGCGCTCCGTGGCCAAATTACGAGGGAGCCTGTTCTCTCCATATAAGGTTTCTAAGGATGTCCTTGAGATAGGAGACCGGCCACACATCTCCATGGCCATATGCCCACTTCCACTCCGTCTCATCACACCTGACTTCATCTTAATCCATTCTTCACACTATTTAGCCTTCTTCCCTTGATCACTGCCTCAGGATCGACTATCCGGGTCAAAAGAGTGTCTTTTCCCAAAAAATCTCCTTGGTAACGTTAGAGATCGGTCGCTGGAGCGGATTCTGTGTCTGAGGTCCGCGGGACATCGGGCACGTGACAAACGCATGAGGGACGGGGAAAGGAAGTGAGGGTGAAAAAGCTTTGTTGGCATGCTGTCATTAACGAATGAATGATAGGTGATAAGTTGATAACTCATAGCCCCTTCGTTCACTTCTCTGGTAAGTTTACTCAAGAAATAATCTAATTGGATATGGAAAAGGGGGGATTCAGAGATTCTGAAAGGGTTATGGAGGGCGAGGAAGATCAGGTGGCGGTGGAGGGAACTTACAGCATGAGAAAGTTGAAGGAGCTCGTAGGTGACGTAACTCAGGAAGCAAGAATTCCTGGCCAGCTGTTCCCTGACAGGGATATCTGGTCATCTGGGTGCTTCCTTCAACGAGTTTTCCCCAAAAGATTTACCATGGGCAGGGGTGGAGGACTTCGTCCCTCCCAAACAGCAAGGAAGCGAATGCGGGCAAGGCTCAATGAGTTTTTTCCTTCCCTATGAAGAGGAGCACGCACCTGTTGCGCACTTTCACTGACTCACTCAATCTCGGACTAGACACAGGACCGGGCTGGGCCTTCGACCAACATGCCAGCCAAAGCAATGGGCAATGGGCATCTCATTCCATTACCAGCCCACGGCAATGAAACTCCTCGCGTCGTCTGCTCCTCCTGCGCATGCGCACTCTCAAAAGGATACCCGCCCTCCAAGGAAATCCTTTCTACAAAAGATGATGAATGCAGTACCCTCACCAGCCCCCGTCCCTCTCTTCTTAAGAATAATATGAGAGAAAAGGTACGGTCGAGTTATTTTCTATTTAAAGGGAAGAATGAAAAAAAGGAAGAAATTACCAGGCACCGGTTCCTCCATGCATGGAGACCACAGCCGTTTAATGGCTCATTACGAAATGAGTATGCTGCGGTTTGCGCCCGTCACGAATTACCACTTTCCCCATTCGAGCTTCTTCCGACATTTGACGTCGATGACCAATGAGTCAGCCAAAAACCACCCTCCCCCTCTCTCTGTATGGGTTTGGGTGTGTGCTTGTGCGTGAGAGCGTGCGTGTGTCCGTTCTGCAACGCCTTCGCTTTCGAAAAGACTTGCGGTTGCAGATTCAGAGAGGGACTTTCGTCTTTTCAGCCGACTGTCCTCGATGATCTGAAGAATAACAAAGGGAAGAAGGGAAAAGGGCGTAGGAAATGAAGGAATGCCAGCCAATCCAGAAGACATTGCGCCACGTCTTTTGGAGTTTCTCAATCTGAAAGGTAAAAGGTAGGACTGTGGACTTATGATCCATTGAGGCTCCCTTCCGGTCACCTCTCTTAAGGATCAACAATAACAACCGTTACTCGTTAGGCTCTAGGAATACATACACACGGGTACATTGAAACAGACATTCTCTCGCTGACTCATGCCTAGAAGTCTCCTTTCACGCGCTCGGAAGGTCATCCTCTTTGTACGTCTCCCCAATGACTATTTC